GTACCGCATGTCTTGAAGGCGCTTGGGTCTGTACAGCTATCCCAGGCGCCGTCACACATCTAGAAGTGAAGTTTGTGAACTCTAGATATCTTCGCAATCGCAGGTTTGCGACTTTCTGGACGCACTGCGAAGTGGAGGTGGGCAGTTCCAGGCCCCGATTTTGTGAATTGGTGTCTGGTCTCTCAAGTTCATTCAAGCCTTTGTTGAGGATCTGACAAAGCTAACTGCAATGGTCGGACAGGACATCGTGTGCAGCCGTGCAAGCATCAGCACCTTGTGCGGTGGCTGGCGCAGGTTGGAGGATTGACTCGGCTCGTCCGAACTTTGGAAAAGCTGAAGGCCACGGCCGCTTGCGGTGTGATGCTGAAGCTGAAGCTCATGCAGATGCCGCAGAGCACGTGCAGGATGTGAGCCGGCTTACAGACATCATCCAGTACGGGGATTCAGTCTTGAGGCGGGGCCCCGCGGCTGGGGCCTGGGCTCTGAAAATTGAAGTTGGTGGCTCGCGTTCAGGCAGGGGCTCCTAGACTCTGAAGATCAGAGCCGCTCCAGCCATCCTGCAATACTGGGAAAGGTGTCAGTCTTAGCATGACCGTTCCGTTTCTGTGGCTGTGTCCTTGCTACGCAGTTTGGCTTACGGCTTATGGAAAGCAAGCATAATGAGTCGGCAAGTTGGAGTCATACGGCACTAAGAAAGCAAAGCTTCCGAGCCACGTCTGCCCAAACATGCTGTTCTCGCCTTCGTCGAGCGGCTGTAACAAATAGCAGAGTAGTGCAGGTGCAGAAGTGTTGCGTTTGACTTGCCAGCCGATATGGCCGCACAGCGGGGTAGCAGACTTTTCTGGCTGCTGCTGGTGGTTGTGTAGCTAGGCTGCATGTCCTGAAGATCGAGCAAGGACGTTTCAAGCACCAAAGTCGCGATGGTGGCCGCAGTGTTCTGTACTGCGATCTTTCAAGCCGGCTCTAGTCCACTTCAGCCACAAGAATCGCTGCCATGCCGTGCTAAGGTCTTGGAGACGAAGCTCGTCTTCCACTGGTGCAATGCTTTCAGGTTTGACGATGTCAGGCATGTTTTGCTCGAATCTGAGGCTCCGACATCGGCTTTCTGCTGCGAGGGGCAGTCCCGAATGCACATCGCAGAGAGCTCCTGCTGCTGACGACCTCTGCCACACAGGCAATCAGTTGTTGCAGATGCGTCGCAGTCCACCAGCTGCTGGCTTTGGGATTGTACGCTGGACCCAGGTTCTTAGACCAGGTGCAGCCTCTGCAGAGGGCTTTGATCCTTTCGGCGAGCAGCAAAAGAAGAAGGCACGCTCATTCGAGTTCGGGTGGCAGATTGGTGCATTGGGCCCTGGGCTGAAGAGGCACCGAAAGACTTGAAAAATCCCCCGCCGGACGTGCAGGCTGGCGCTGTTGAGAGATGCTACTGCTAACTGCCAAGCTTCAGCGAGGAGTTTTGCAGTGTTCTGTCGCAGAGCAAAGGTCACGAAGAGTGGCCTCAAGTTCAAGATCCTCAAGCCTGTGGACTGTGAGTCGGTGAAGTGTTCGAAGCCGAACATTTTTGACAAAGTCTCTGTTGACTTCACAGGCCGCGAGTGCAAGCACAGTGCAAGCTTCCATGCTGATGGTGACGGCATTCTTGTGCTTGGCTTCTTGCCCTTGAGAATCAGGTTACGAGCTAGACGGGCGGATCTTTGATTCAAGCCGAAAGCGGGGGCGCATGACCTTTCCAGTGAGCCAAGTTATCCGTGGCTGGACGGAAGGTTTGCTGAACATGAATGCTCCTTGGAATGCGAGGATCTGCTTGCGAAGCTTACAGTACCTGCTTGTGTAAGACAGTAAAAGTAAGACTAAGACTAGGTAAGGGAAGCATGTTGGGCTCTTCTAGCGGTGTCCGTCCGATGCGAGGTTGGAGATACTGCCAGGCTCTGGATCCCGAGCAACCTCGGCTTCGGTTCGGCCGGCAAAGGTGGTCCAGCAGGACGAAGCGGCGAAGCGAAGCAGTGAAGCGATGCGAAGCGAAGCGTCGACTCGAAGCCTAAGCCTCGCCGCTCACCCTTTCCATCTCTCCGACTCGATGCTGAGAGGAGACATTGTGGTTGACGTTACTCTCTATGGACTGAAGCGCGGACAAGCGCCTCCACCCGTCCCAGAAAACCTGGACGCTCCGCCTTCGGATGCAGAGTTATCGAAGATCCTCGGAGTGCAACAGCTGCTAAGCAGCTTAGGCCAGCCTTCCAGGCCTTCACTCAGGGCTGGGAGGAGCTCAGCTGAGGTCTGGCCTAGCCACGAAGATCATCAGGCCTGGCAACGGCACGGAAAATGCAGCGGAAGCTATAAAGGTGACTGCTTCTTGGTTGCTGTTTCCGACACTTGCGCCGGCGAGGCTACAAACGAGGAACGGATAGTGGGCCATCTGGAGCTGTCAATTCACAGGTACTTTTGGGTGAAGTTTTGAGCTCAGGTGGAGTACTATGGCTGGACCACCGACGGTCAGCTTTTCGATTCTTCAACTATGCGTGGACAAACGGTTGAACTGCAGCAGAAAAATGTACCAAAGGGTGTGTGGGAAGGTGGCGTTCCTGCATTGGGGTTGCGCAGCTGCTTTAGATGCAACGACGGCATGTGCTTTCACCGTGCTGCTATCTCTGCTGTAAGGTATCCAGCTCATGAGGGAAGGTGAAACACGAAGGCTTTGGGTTCCACCTTCTCTGGGATATGGGAGTCAGCGAGACGACGGTGGCCCATGCGGCATGCTGATCTTCGATGTCTTCTTGCAGTCCTTTGAGAAAGGTGGCTTCTTCAGGTGAAACGCAAGTTTCGACGCATGTTATGTCTGATCACACCGACGAGCAGTGTTATGCGGCTGAAAAATGTTCGCGTTGCAGCACAAGGACGTGACAAGTAGTGTACTCCCCTGCCAGCTGGCAATTTTTTTCTGCAGGTTCTGGGCGACATGGATTCAGAAACTTTTCTGGAGGCAGGAGTGCACGCGGTGCCGCAGCAGCAGCAGCAGCAGCAGAATGCGCGCTTCGCTCATGATCAGAAGGTCTTCGACACCGTAAAGCTCTCTTCTATTGCAGACCTGGTGCAATCTTCCCAGAGTACTGCGAAAGACTTCCAAGCCCGACAGTTCGTGCGCATGCTATGCAAGGCCTCTCCTGGTTTCAGCGGGAGTGCTCCGTAGCCGTGGTCAGCACCAGACAGAGGAGGAGGTCTGGAAGGGCTTCCAGCACCGGGCTTCCATAGACCTTCCGGCCTGATCCTAGGTGGCTGCTGCGGGGGAGTCTGCACTGCGATGGTTGGCACGAGCTGGCCGGTGAATGGTTCTACAATGTTCTACCCCTGGGGCTGACCTCGCTTGCTCGGCTTGGTCAGGCGGTGCCTTCCTCGTCAGTGCCGCTGTCTATCCAGTCCCAGCGAGGTGCGGCCGTAGAGTGCATGTCGTCGTCCCTAGAGTACCATGACAGGTCTTTCCTCAAAGTGATGGAGCAGGCTGGGCACTGGGCATTCTCGGCCAGGCCTGTCTTCAAGTCACTGAGCTTCAGGTGAACAGTTGCGGCCTTGGCCGACTACGGCAACCAAGCCTGGTGAAGGCCAGTGCCTCAGCGTCCGTTGTGGCATTGTCTGAGTTCACGGGATCCGCAGGTCGGCAGCTGGCTCACGCAGCTTTCGCGACGTCTGGGTTCCTTGGAGGACCGCTGTGAGGCAAAGCCCGGCATTCTCTTGAAGCGCATCTCGAGCAGACACTTGTGGATATGGTCGGGAAAACGGACCTGATCGGTGTCGTCGGCTTCTGAGCGGCCGTGCCCGCCCTGCTAACCCCTTCGGCGAGTTGCAAGCGGCCACAGAGGTCTCGTGCTTGAACTTGACCCGCCTGGCGAATCCTGCTGAACGCAGCAGCCTCAGGACCTCCAGCAGCTAGCACAAAAACTGCCCCCCCGCCCTGTTACGGAAACCGCGTGCCCAATGCGCCCACGTTGCTTTTGTGCCGAACACACCCTTCTGCTTGTTTACCATCTGTCAACAAGCAGGCATGCCAACACGATTTTCTGCAGGCGAGGTGCTGGAAGATACGGTTACCGATGCGGTCTCTTCGACAGTTGGCGCCATCGAGACAGGCCCGCGCGTTCCCCATTCCGCGCCTCAGTTTCCCGGACTGTCTGCTTGCAGGATCCAGTGTCGGTGGGGCAAACGAATCTTTGGTTTGCATCTTGCCTGGGCCAGCCACGCGGACCTGACTGTTTTCTCCGTTCTGGCTGAGCTGTCTCGTGTATAAAATCATGACAAGCGCGGAGATCTTGCACGACCGTGGCCCTTTTGCCAGGATAGAACAAGCCGCTCCGATCCAAAACATGCTGAAGGCAGATCCTCGCAACTTGTTGATGGAAAGCTGCTGCTGTTTACCTGTGAGCCCCGCTTTCAGGAGCTCCTACAGATTGCCAGAGGGACTGGACTGGAAGGGATCACCAGGTTAATGCACCTTTTCCACAAGGCATCTTGGTGCTGTTGTGAATCATGTGGAGGCCTCTGGACTGCTCGTTTTACTCTTCCGTAGCGGTGCTGACGATCCAGGCAGACAGTTTAGAACGACTGGAGCGAGGTGTGGAATTTCTTGGTGCTGCGAGGCTGACATGTAATATGATCGCGACATGGCACATGCCTGCCTTACTCCACATTTTCTATGTGGTTCACCCTGGACAGGCTTCTCAAGCCCAAGAGCGAAGTGCCGGCGCCAGCCGCCCGAGCGCGCGAGAGTTCCGATGATCCGGACCTGGAGAGTCAATCGGAAGGCCGCGAAATCTCTGAGCTTCTCTGCGTGTCCTGTCACCGAACCGTCCCTTCCGCTCGAGGCCAGGCTCCGGCGGCCGAGGTCTCGGCCGAGAGGGCCGAGCCCGTGAACTTGGACCCGGATTTCGAGTCGCGGCCTCGGACCACGGGATCCACGGGACGACGGGTAGCTGCGCTCCTCCCGACGTGCAACGCTCTTGTTGAGGCCCTGGGAGAACTTGGTTACATTGGCCAGGGCCTTCTAAGCTTGTCCGTTGGCTCGTGTGGAGACGCCCTTCAGCAGTTTCTGAAGCAGGCGAACAGCTTCGGAGGACCGGACAATATATGTCAACGCGTAGAGGTTCACCTGCGAAGTTTGCAAGAGTTAAGAGACTTCGACAATATTCGACAATCTTTGAGTGTAATCAGCGAGACTGTGCCATGAGTTCTGATCCGTTTTTTGAATCACGGTGTGTCTGCTTTTGCCTTCACTGCTCTGAAGTTAGCGTGCTTACCGTTACCGTACGAAAGTCCCTGTATGAAGGCAACCAACATCAAGCACTTCGAGGAGTGTGGTTTCCTGAGAGTTCGCGTATCACTAGTCGTTGATCCCGGGCAGCTGCAAGATGCAGCTGGTCTTTGTGACATGAAATATTAGCGCCGGGGCCAACATGAGACCTCGAGGTCTCGATGTTCTCCACGAAGCGGGACTTACACAAAAGCAGCATCCTGTGGCAGTTTGCCTAGCAAACAGCGTTACGTGCTTGTGATCGATTTCCTCGCCTAGGTCATTTAAGCTGGAAGATGGTCGTATCCCAAGTTTAGTAGTGTCACGACACGTGCGGCAAGGGCTGAAGCTTTCCTCGCCTCGCCAAGGAGGTCCATCAGCAGCCCAGATCCAGACCTGGAAGAAGGCGACCGCAGAGCGCTGGAGCGGGAGTCCAGTGGCCCCGTCTCCAGCACCAGGGCCAGGGACTGCCAGGGACTGGATTCTGGCATGGAGTTTATGCGGTGGGGCTTGTGGGGGTGAGCTCTGGCTGTGGTGTCGACAGCGGACGTGTGTTGTATTGGAAGTGTTGACCACGACTTGTCTTACTTAGCTTTTCGCACGAAAAAAACTCATAGTTTCGGATCTGTCTCCGACGAAAGCTTTAATCACCGGCAGTGCTTACACATGCTAATTTTGCTGCAGATTTGCTTTCTCGTGGGCCTCGATTGCACTCTTTTGGCGAGCTGGCACAGGGCTACTGCTGGCCTCAGAACCTCGCCTCACAAATTAGGTTGTTCGACCGGTTCGCCACTGCGCGGAGTGACGCTTGCAACGCTGCCCGAGAATCCGCGCAACTTTTGCTGTGAGCCACCGCAAGTGAAACAGAAGTTCGCCTCGGGCGCCGAATGCATCGGCGCTTTTTGGAGGAAGATGTGCGCGGCGGACCTTGCGGCTCGATGGTTTCCCTGGTCGAGCAGGCGTTATACAGCCGGCATCTGCCCAACCGTATGCCGACACCGGTTTTGGAGGGCGGTATGCCTGGCTGTGCGCACGGATTAGGCTCGTGTTGGGTAAGCGTCATTGCGCTTGCAGAGTTGACGAAGCAACATGTGCGCGACTGTGGTTGCTTTATTCAGAGACTGCAACAAGTCTGCATCCTAACAAGTTGCGAAAAATGTGACAAGCGGCTTGACTGCTCCGCGGCGCACTGCAGTGCCCTTCGTACGTGAAGATCTAAGGGATGACATTAAGTCATTAGGTAAGTTTGTAGAAGATCTTTGTAAGCTACAGCCAAAACTGCGTGATAGACCAAGACTCCAGAGCCGGTTCAGCCCATTTCGGCACTTCCACTGCTTGCAGGTCATTGCTTTGCTTTCTTCTAATGGCGGCCCTCGTTTGTGCATGCCTGAGGGCTGCTCCTTTGCTCCTTACGGATTTTCGCAGACTCTCAATTTTTCTCAGGTTTCTTGACAGTTTGGAAGGAGTAGCTGCCGCGGCCTCGGAAAATTGGCCGCTACTGTGCCGATCGGAGACTGGAAATCAATCAGGCCGAGGACTTTCTTCACATGGTCGGCCTCTTGCGACGAGCCGGGCGTGAAGCTAAGTGCATCGCGGCTGCTATAATTCTGCGAAAGACAGAGGGAAACACTGTTGAGGCTCGCACGCCCTGTGGATGGCATGGATGGCACGGAAGAGTCGCCTGAAGCTAAGCCGATAAAAAAAGAGCAGCGAAGCCGAAGCAGTCCCAGTCCCGCGCGAAGTTCCTTTGTACTCGTCGGCGAGGCCGCGCTTCTGCTTTGGCCATGGAGAGGATGCAGGCGCCAAATGGGAACGGACCTGGTAGGGTTGGGGTGCTCCTGTCCCAGCCCTCCCTGCCTTGGAGGTCGCATTCGCAACGCCATGCTGCACGAGTTTGTCGAGCGAGTGGTGCAGGCAAGCCACTAATTCCTACACTACGGTACAAGTATCAGCTTCCAGCTCTGGAGACGTGGAATGTGATGACGCAGCAGGCGGGTGGCTTCCATGCCTTCTGGCACGCTCTCAAGGGAGTGGATCTCGCAAAGCTCAAAGGGGACTTGCACTGCCGCCTGGACGGAAATTAAGTAAACGGTATCTCGCACATGTGCCAACGGAAATTGAAGCCAGGTTTGGCTGTAATACGGCGCAAGCTCAACGAGCTTACTTCGAAGGACAAAAAGTCTCCTTCGGCTGCATGTTTGTGAGGCTGGCCGGCATCGGTTGCCTTGCCAGCAGGACTGGTGGCTGGCGGTTCATGATGCAGAGAAGCTGGAGGACATGCGCTGATAGAGTCGATGCTGTGATGCGGCACTGAAGAGCACGCTTCGCACGCGGCCGGAAGGATTTATTGCATTCGCACCTGGAAGAAAGGTGGCCTTCTCTTCTCTCATCATTTGAGATGCTTGCGCTTGGACATCTTTGCGAAGCAGCCCATGGTCCATGGTGCAGGAAGCGCCGAGGAGACGATCTTACCTTGAGGCGCGTGGCACAGCCCGTCTGGTCAGCGGGTGGAAACGTGGAACGCGCCTCGAAGGCAGCGCCAGCGCCTCGTGAAGCGCTTCAAGGAGGTTCGCCGGAGCAAGGGATGAAAAGGGCCGCATAAGAAGAAGAGCGAATTCGCAGACCGAGGAGGTCTCATGGTCAACGAGTCCGGTTGCAATTTGTCAAGTAAGACGTAGTGTTTTCGATAACTGGGGTAAGGGATCGAACGAGACACACCTTCGTCAACAACAACTACGTTGGAAAGGGCCCAGGAGGGTCGACGCGATAGGGATGGATGATCGCCCTGCTCTGCTGCTCCTGCTTGAACTTCGTGCCCAACTGAAGGGAAAGAATGGGGAAAAGGAAGTCTCATCCGCTAGGTTCCAGATGAGGGCAAGATGATCCAAGGATTGGTGCTCATAAAGAGGAGCAGTGGAATGTTTTCAGCAACTTCAACCCTGCCTTCCCAGAAATTCAGGGGCCGAGGTCAGGCTTGTCTTGAAGTTGAACGTTTAGGCAGCGGCACCGCAACAGAATTGAGTTTCCGAGGGGACTTGTGAATGCATCTCCCCGACTTCCTGAATGGTGTTGTTGGGTTCTGTCTGACAGCCTCCAAGGGGTAGATAGACAATGGGATGCTTGTGCCATGTCCGCCGGAACTTCGGTCGTCAGTCAGGGCTCACCAGCGAACAAGGCCGAATTCATGGCTTGCAAGGAGGGTTCAACAGCTTTGTTGACAGGCCGTGTCGCAAAAGGCATGACGTCGGATCGCAACAGAACTCTTCCGAGACAAGTCAGCCAATAATGGCGATCTGGATGATTCCTTTAACACTACCAGTACCACCCAGACACGCAAGTACTTGTAATGATTATGCCGGTCGTCTTCAAGCTTCGAGACCAACCGTTTGCTTGAGATCCCTTGTGTTCGGCGGCCAGGTTGGAGGTGTCGAGAACTTCCTCGACAAATTCGAGAAAATCAACCTGTCTCAGCTTATTCGGCAACACGAGGCGGGTGTTTCGTGACTTCGTGTTAAATTCTGGCGAAAGAAGGAAGTAGACATACACCTAACACTAACCACTCTGTCAACGTGTTGACACGCTCAGACGACATGATGCTTTCGCAACTTTATCTGTCAAATTCTTGGGGCCTTCTGTGACATAGTGCGACTGCACTGCTACAAGGAGAGCAGTCGCATGTGGGAGTGTTGCAGGAAGGAAATTAAAGGACGTCGAATTGGCATCATCGGCTCGCGACGCCGTCTTCATAATATATCATCACCTACCATAGTGTCTAATGATCGGAGCCATACCACTTCGATACAAGAGTATGTTGACTGCACATCTATGATGCAGCGCGCAGGTGTGCGCAGGCCAACCGCCCCAAAATCGCAGAACCACCCGTTTTGAGCTCGCATTGTAAATGAGAGTGTCCTCCATCGTGTTCGTTCAGGAAGGTTGACACTGCTCGTCTCTGTAGTTCGCTTCGGAAGGGTTGGGCTGGGACTGACACAAAGGTCGACCTGCCAAGTTGTTTGTGTTGCCTTTTCTATGGCCTTGTGCAAGCATTGGCGGAATACGTGACTGTTGTCTTCGTGCAGGTTCGGAGCTTGACCGGTAGTGTCTGTTGGCTTCGCTCGTGATTTTACGTGATCGGGAGTGGTGGTGAAGTCTCACTTTTGAAAATCCTTGATTGGTGTGATCGTCTTCTTCAAACGCTCTTGGCCTCTTGTCTAGGGGTGCATGGTGAAGGGCCTCGGTAAATCTTCAGTCGGCTAACGACGGCCAGCCTTGCTTGTCATGCATAGTCGGAGTCCTCCAGAGATTTCTCGATTCTGGACCGGACTTTCGCGTTAACACTGTCGGTCGATTTGGAGCCTCGGATCGTTCGGCGGCTTCAGATAGTGTTTTTTTCAGTCAAACGTGCAGCACATCTCTGTGAAAGCCAGTTTAATCCCGCACAGTTTTCCAGCCTCGACGACAGGCGTCTCAGGCAGATTTGAGAAGACCAGCCCACTCTGCTTCACTATCGTCATTGCTTCATGCTTGATTACCGCATGATGAAGAGAAGTATGTTGCCCCCCAAAACAGACGAAGAAAAAAAGCTGGGACGAGTGTTCCTCGGTTCTTGCCTAGCAAGACGCGTGCTGGCCAGGCCCTCGAGAAGGCACGCATCAAGCGTGTGTCTGTCATCGAAGCCCTGGCAGAGATCGGATGGCTGGTGAAGCACGAGGCTCCCGAAGAACACGGATTGAGATCCGCCTGCAAGCATCTTGTTTGCAGTGCAAGGTTGAACACCTGGAAGGGCTCTACACAGTTGCGCAAACCCTGGTGCACAATCCTCAGACTTTGACACAGAAGCAAAGTCGGCAAAGTGGCATCAAGAGAATTCGAGGCGCTGGAGCGACAGGCACTACAGAGGTGCCGAGCCTTCTCGGCTTTGGAGGGTCCGGGGCCCCAGTTCTTGGCTGGGGCAGCGGGGATCATGTGACATAGCTGTAGCCCACACGATGGCTCCGTCTCGTTGAACACTGGGTCGCAGTCACAGTACACCTCAGTACACCACCCATCAGCGCCAGTGGACCTTGCAGCATCCAGCCGGCGGGGCGGCCGAGCTCTCCAGCTCGCTGTTGCACTCGCTCGATGCGGCAGCCGTTGGACAAGCAGCCCTCAAGGAACCTTCGTCGGCAGAAGCGACAGAGAAGTGCCACGACGTCAGTTTTAGTCCTCCAGGGCGCCGCGATGCAGCTGGCCTGAGTAAGACCAATCCTCCAAAGATCCTTGAAGCCGAGCGCTCAGTACTGCGGGCTCACTGGCTTCGCCCTTGCACCCCGCAGGGGGGGGCCAAGAAAAAGGCTGAGATAGCGACGTGGCTGCGCCGACAGAGAACCAACTGTCGGCTTGACCTTCCCGTGGTAAGTCATAGCTCGCCTTCAACACCGGCTTGGAGTACAAACGCCTCAGGCTTCCATGTATACACTTATGCAGAGGGACCTAGTACGAACTGGCAACACGAAGAAGCCCGTACAACATCGCGAATACCGCTTGGTAAAAAGCCTCCGTCTGTGTCGCGTTTGACTTGGCTTTGCAAGGCTTGGGCTTAGCTAAGCTTCTGCAAAAAACCAGGCAGCCAGAGAAAGGGATGCATCGACGCAGAAGCATTGGCCAGCAGGCCAAAGGAGTCATGACACTTCAACGCGCACCTCGCGGCAACTTGAACTTCGACATGCCGTTGTAACTTCCTCGGAACCGACTTTGAATGGAATTGCATCGGTTCCCACGTGTTCATAGTTCTGTTTCACAAGCGAGTAAGATTCTTCTTGCAGCTGTTCTTGTGGTTAAGAGATTGCAATCATCCAGGAATTGATGCATGAGAACTCTGAAACTCCGAAGATCGTAGTCGATGATCGTGTTTTCTGCTTCGGTTCGCTAACACCCTACACCAACGGTGTCCCAAGCCTTTACCCAATCCATCTTCGTTTATGCAACGGATCTCCAGTTTCGCTGACAGTTCTTGCGCTTTCGGATCGTGTCCTTGAATGGTCCTTCAGCTGTTCCCATTTCAAAGTGTGCATAGCTCGCGAAATCTTCTCGGCTGTTTACAGCTGTGGCACATTTTTGGAGCTGGGGGATTAGCAGAGCAGGTGCTCGCGGATCAAGTGGCTTGGCTGCTTTCGGCGATTGAAGAGAACGGCACTCTGCTGGAGTCCCAGAATGTCCCAGAGCCTGCCAGTGTTTGCTAGTGTCCTGGAGTCTGGGCCTGTGATGGGCTTTATGGCTTTATAGCTGAGAGGCTGTGTTTACGCAGCGCCATGCGCTGGCGGCTGTAGATAAGTCAGCGAGTTTTCACTGAGTCAGGGCTACAGGGGATGGGAATCAACAATGTGCTAATTCGGATTGTGAAAATCTAAACTTGGGTCGAACAATACATAAAAAAGAAGACTGACATTTAATCACGCCAGCAGAAACTAGGGCAGGAGGAAGAAAGGAAGGAAGAGACAAAGAAAGGCAGGAAGGAACAAAACAGGAACACTAGAAGGAAGGAAAGGACGGAAGGAAGTAAGCAAAGAAGCAAGAAAGGAAAGAAGATAGGAAGGAAGCAAGGAAGGAAGGAAGCAAGGAAGGAAGGAAAAGGAAGAAACGAGGAAGACAAGAAGGAAGAACAGGAGGAAGGAAGGAAGCAAAGCAGGACGGAGGAAGGAATAACGAAAGGAAGGAAAAAGGATGAAACAGGTAAGAAAAGAAGTGCGCCCCCTGCGAGGGTGTGGGGTAGTTTGGGGTTTTGAGGATTTAGGGTTTAGGGTTACGCGCGACCGGAGCGTGAGGTTAACCGGTTTAGGGTTACGGTTTAGGACCATGTAGTTGTAGGAATAGTGATAGTTAGTATTTATTGGTACTCTCATGAGTATTACAGGGTCTAAGGTTTAGGGTCACTCGCGCCCGGCGCGTGCAGGTTGCCGGTTTTGGGTGAGAGTTTAAGGCTTCGTAGTTAGTAGTTTAAATAAGTAGTATTAGCATTCGCAGTGAAGTGTTTAGTGTTTTTAGGGTTTCAGTCGTTGGAGTTTTGAGGTTTAGGGTTTAGGGTTTTTAGGGTTTAAGGTTTGTGGTTTTACTGGGGTTGGGGTTTAGGGTTAGAGGTTGGGTTCGCGGTTTTTGCAAGGCTTAGGGTTTAGGGTTTAGGCTGTTGGGCTGGGTTTTCAAGGTTTACAGGGTTTGGGGTTTTACGGTTTAGGGTTTAGGGTTTTGTGGTTGAGGGTTTATGGGTTACGCGCCGCCCGGCGCATGCGGTTTTCGGGTTTAGGGTCTGTAATTCGTTGTTCGTGCTCGGAGTATTACTATTGTAGGGCCTGGCGGCACGGGCCGGCATGGCCGGCAGGAGGCGAACTCGAAGCCTTAGGCCTTAGCCATGCCTGTTCCGCACGCACGCGTGCTTGCGAGCGCCGTACGCAAGCATCAGCAGCTCATTGTCACAGTTGGTGTTGGTGTTTCCTTTCTCTTGCCTCGCGGCATCGCGGACTTTGAAACCGCTTAGCGGCGACCCCAAACCCACGTGCCGAAGCCGGTTGGAGCTTCTTTTCTCCTTTGCGGAGTCTTTCATGCTGTACCGCCCTGAAGATTGCGCAAGTTCGTTTCACGACAAAATCCCAGAGACGCTCCAGGCCTCCCATCTGTGCCCGAAGGGGTGCCCTCGATGCCGGAAACATGGGGTCCGATGATGCTCAGGGATGCGGGGTCGGCGACACTGGCGTCACCCCGGAAAGCTAAAGCTTTAGGCTAGCGTGCTCCCACGCTGGACCACGACGGCCATGCCGGATTAGTACTATAAGATCTAGGGCCATCTAGGGTCTTCAGGGTTTAGTGTTTGGATTTTTTCGGTTGAGGGTTTAGGCTGTTGGGTTTTTACGGTTTAGGGTTTAGGGGTTGAGGGTTGTTAAGGTTTAGGGTTTGGGTTTTTACGGTTCAGGGTTGAAATTCCAGGCTGTTGAGTTTTGCGGTTTAGGGTTGAGGGGTTATGCGCCCCCCCCTTCTGTTTGTGGGTTGAGGGTTAAGGTTTAGGGTTTGTAATTAGTGGTTGGTATTTTTGGGTTTAGGTGCGTGCTCGGAGTACTGTAGGGTCCGGGGCTAGGGTCTTTAGGGCGGGGGTTTGGGTTTTACGGTTTAGGGATTAGGGTTGAGGTTGTTGGGGTTTTACGGTTTACCGCCTGGGTGGGGGGGTCACTCGGTGGGTGGATGGCTGGGTGACCCCGGCATGTGCTCGGCGAGCTAGGGTTTGGCGTTTACGATTAGGAGTTTAGGGTTTAGGCTGTTGGGGTTTGACGGTTTAGGGTTTCAGGGTTACGCCAGCTACGCGCCGCCCGGTGCATGCGGTTTGCGGGTTTAGGGCTAGGGTTTAGCGTCTGTTGTTAGTGTGTATCAGTATTGGTATTATGGAGTTTAGCGTTTTAGGGTTCAGGGTTTCGCATTCCATTGCTTAGGGTTTAACGTTTGGGGTTTCGGCGTTGGGGCTTTTGGGTTTAGGGTTGCGTGCGCCCAGAGTAATAATACTAGTTTAGTGGTTTTAGGATGTTTTAGGGCTTTATACTTTATGTTTTAGGCTGTTGGGGTTTTGCGGTTTTGGGTTTGGGGTTACGCGCCCTGCGTGGGTGGGTCGCTGGGTGGTTGGGTAGCTGGGTGGCCAGTTCTGTTGGGGTTGGGGAGGGGGGGGTAGTCTTAGCAATCGTGGTAATCCTGATGTTTGCCTGCTGCAAAGGAGGGAGGCAGGCAATTGAGGCAAGGGGCGCAAGTGGTGCAAGTGGTGCAGGATTGCAGGATTATAAGCTCTCGTTTGCCGGCACTAGTAGTGGTGTGTTTGCAAGTGGGGGCCCCAACCTCCTGGCGTTCAAAAACATCTCGCAGGCAAGAAGAACTGCGTAAAGCACAGAACTGCTGTGGAATTTGTCACAATCCATCACAGGTACTTTGATGCAATTGTTTGGAACTTTAGCCGTGCAAGACTGTTTTCAGGACCATCGTGCCATCAACGGGAGAACCTGTTTGAACGGTAATCCATCATGCAGGCCTCATGTTCGCAAATGGGCGGGACTGCGATCCGTACCCCCCCCACCTCGCCTTTGTTAAGCTGTGCAAGCTTGTGTTAGGGAACATCGTGCCATATCGTGCCATTAGGATCATTAGGATCCTTTCAGAACCCACCATACAGGCCTTGTGTTTGCAAATGCTGGGGGGGCTGTGCCCCCCACCAACCCCTGCTTTTTGAGCTGCGCAAGCCTGCTTTCCAGGGCATCGTGTCGCGCATAAACTCTTCCAGAGCTTTCAGAATCCATCAGCAAAACGTTGCAAATGAGGAGGCAGTGCTGCGCCGCCCAACCCCACACTGCTTTTTTAAGCCGTGCAAGCTCGACTAGTTGTACTACGACAACTACTTCTGCTTCTACTACTACTGCTACTACTACGACGACGACGACTACTACTACTAGTCCTGCTACTACTACTACTACTGCTACTACTACTACTACTACTACTACTGCTACTGCTGTCCGAATTCCCGAGTTGCGGCGGAGGGAAGGCTCACTATTGACGATTGCTATTACGATTACTACTACTGTTACTATTACTTTTAACTATTACTATGACTATCACTACGACTATGACTATTACTGTTACTGTTGTTATTACTATTGGTATCACTAATACTCCTATTACTATTATCATTACTAGTACCATTACCATGACCATGACCATTACCAGTACTATTAACATTCGTGTTACTATTGCTATTGCCATTACTATTACAATTCTCATTATTACTATGAAAAACTATGCTTACTACTACTACTACTACTACTACTACTACTACTACTACTACTACTACTACTACTACTACTACTCCTGCTGCTGCTACTACTACTACTACTACTACTACTACTACTACTACTACTACTTTCGAGCCTGGCGATGTTTTGGCAACTTCGGATGCGAAAGCATCGCCAGGCTGCAGTTTCCCCAAAATTTGTGAGGCTGGAAGTGCGAAGACATCGCCAGGCTCCAACTTCCTCAAAATTCCTAGAATCTCAACAGCTATGGGGGATTTTGATGAAATTCGAGCCTGGCGATGTTTTGGCACTTCCAGCTTCACAACTTTTGGGGAAATTCGAGCCTGGCGATGTTTTGGCAACCTCGGATGCGAAAACACTGCCAGGCTCGAATTTCCCAAGATTCCTGAGACCTGAAATGCAAAAGTACTAGAACAACAGCTGTACCATGTACTCATACGTGAGCCTTAATTTGCTTCAGTTCCCAACTGTGCCCTTGCTTCTTTCATCGAACAAGGTCATAGCTGTTGTTAAGATCACCTTTGCTCAATAAAAGAGACAGAAGAACAGCTGTACTTTATAATTTTGAAACCCACCTGTGTTTGTGGTTGTGGATGCTTTAGAACATTTACATGTTCGATGAACTTTACATCATGTTTAGACACTTTCGAGTTCTCGTTTCTGCATCGAGGTAAGATCTTGTTAACCGTTTTGACCAAAGAAGAAGTCTGTCTCGTATTTTGTATCATTTCACAAACCAAAAAAGCTGATAAGCTCCGATATTTCATTTGATTACATATAAAGTGAGTTCCCCTATAGTACTGTTTTGCCTTATTACTTTTCGGGTTCCCCTTATTCTAGCTGAATACCAGAAAAAAGGTACCATTCAGGCGACACTAGGGAACCTGGTAAATTTAAATGAGCTTTCAATTGCTTGGATTACTGACGGTGCTAACTGTTCTCTCATGGAGCAAAATCATAACCAAGTCAAGGTCAGCCTTGCTCAAGAGGTAAGTCAAGAGTTTTATTGTCTTCTGTAACGCATAATGAGAAAAGATGTGTTTCCACCATTTCTCGGAGGCTACGAGGAGAGGTCTGGAGCTGTTTCATGCTGTATTCAAACATGGCAGGAGCCATATCACTTGTGCGAGTAGCGCGGTCAAACGGAGCTCGATTATGTGTTCTGAGCCAGGATCGTCTTGCATCCTTTAAAACCAGCACATGTGTTGAGAGGAACAACGCATACTTTCCAGATACATGCTTGTCTTAATTCCCAGGACGTATACAGCGTAAGAAGCTCGACATACTTGACTTGTGACCGAAGGTATTTGCAGTTTGGTGGAGGGAGACCATTTCTTTCCCTAAACACTCAGATTTAACAAGTGGTATTGGTAGATTGTAAGAGCTCGTTGAGTTCCAGCCACTGAGTTCCAGCACTGATAAAGGGCTAAGGCGGCTTATTGTGTTGCTTGTGATGAAACCTTGTTAGAAAAAACGCCACTTGAGAATGAACAGCCGAGCTTCCCTTGTCTTTTCGAACTTTGAAGATCTGAAGTTGTCCTAAGTTCCCCTGAAGCATGAAGATGCATGGAGGTTCTAGGCTTTATGATTTGTGTTATGGATAGATAGGCAACACCTCTGTTTAGTGTTGTTGCTAGTAAGCCGACCATACCACTGGCATGTTTGTTTTCATTGAAGGAGCTGTCCTTACCATTTATGGTATGAAGAGAAGAGAAGCTATGACTGTTCAAACTGTGTAGATCGACAAACTCAGAATCCAGAACCAGAATCTGGTTTCGGTTTCGGCTTGTTTACGTATGATATGAAAGGAATAAAAAAGTCGGGTAGACATGTACATGAAGTGCAGAAAACACCGTAGATACGGATAGGTTCTGACTATAAGAGTAAGCAGCTTGTGACATAAGATTGCACAGGACTACTTGACAAGAAGACTCGCCTGGATCATGCGGGGTGTGCGACCTACATTGACCTACTACTACGATTCCTATCGCTATCACTATCACTATCACTATCACTATCACTATCACTATCCCTATCACTATCACTATTACTACTACTATTACTATTACTATTACTTTTGCTATTACTACTGCTACTGCTACTGCTACTGCTACTGCTACTGCTACTGCTACTGCTACTGCTACTGCTACTGCTACTGCTGCTGCTACTGCTACTGCTACTGCTACTGCTACTGCTACTGCTACTGCTACTGCTACTGCTATCGCTACTGCTACTGCTACTGCCACTGCCACTGCCACTGCTACTGCTACTGCTACTGCTACTGCTACTGCTACTGCTACTGCTGCTGCTACTACTACTACTACTACTCCTGCTGCTGCTGCTACTACGACTACTGCTGCTACTGTTGCTGCTACTACGGCTACTACGGCTACTACTACTACTACTACTACTACTACTACTACTGCTACTACTAGCAGTACTGATCAAGTTTAAATTCTTTTTGGGCCAAGTTTGTGTCTTGATTCGAAAAGGTATTGCTTACTTTCTTGATACTGCTTTAACTTATTCTTTTGATCCTCGTGGCTTATGGCTTAACTTTTTGATCCCAAGTCAATTTTTATCCGCCACCCAAAGGCTGCGACGGGTGATGTTCTTGGTTCTTCTACACGATGCCCTGTCGCTGTACACGCTCATGTAGTCCAATTTGTGTCGGGGTCCTCTCCGCCGTCGGCTCCGTCTTGCTCCAGGATCTCCACCATCTTCTTTGCTGCCCCTCGTAGACTCCTTCCAGACACCCTGTCCAGTAGAGCGAAACAGGAGGTGCTAGAGTCGAAAAGGCGATTCTAATGCGTCCTCTCCAAGAGGATCTAACAGTCAAAGAAGACGTTCAGCTTAGGGTCTGCTCTGCTGGGAGTTTCGAACTAGCCTGAGGCTGAAGGCCACCATCAATCAAGGCAGCAAGAATCCCGCGCAGCAGCCCTAGACGTGTGCACTGTGATTCTGTCTCGGCGGATGGCACCAAAGGAAAGAGCCTGAATTGACACCAGCCCGCCTCGTTCTGCCCTCAGTGTCTGCACTGTTTCGCTACTAGCTGATCTAGGCTACAGTTCGAAAGGGCTACCATAGCGAGGTACAAAGATGTCAGGCATGTGGTATTCTAGAGCGAACCCTGAAGTGGACGCTGCTTGTAGCTCAAGCAGTGCATTGTCGACTCGAGTCGTTGTTCGGGACATTTCGGGACAGAAGCTCTGTTGCATAAAGTGTTGGGAAAGGACACCGCCCTTGAGTCAGTAATCCCAAGAATCACTACTGAATCCAATTGCTCGGCGTCGCCTCGCATCTTGCAGTTTCTGCAATGCCCTCCTGCTTTCTTTGCTGCGGCTGAACTGCAAATGTGAAGAGCCTCGATTCGAGCTGTCGTTGGTACGGCAAGTAGGATTGGACTGCGACTTTGGACTGTGGCGGTTGTTTCCATGGTGATGCAGCGATGCTGGTGCTTCCGTCCTGCAAATCTAATATTGTCCCAGGCGCAGTTTCTGCAAGCCTTGCGGCCCATGGGTGGTGCCCGGTCCTCGGTCCTTGAACGTTTTCACTTCCTCGGAACAGATGAAACAGTGACTCCTTCAACATGACTGGGTTGAGGGCGCCAGTTTCTTCCGGTAAGGTCACTGGCTTCCTGACGGCCTTCCGCGGCCTGGATTTTGCCACCGCAGCAATCCAGGTGTCGTGCCGTCTTGGAATGTTGATTGCCCTTTTGGAGCGCCTCATTTCGGCTTTGGTTTTCGACTTCTCCCTGTTCGTTTGACACATACCGCTCAGATGTTGCTCCGCGCTTGACTTGAGGCTAGGATCCTGCACGACTCTTGTGCCCGAGCCTTTCAAATCTGCTGCAGAATGGTCTGGTGATAGTGACCCGGAAGCTACTCTGCCTGCTGAGATTCACGCACAGGTGCGCAGTTCAGAGACCACACGGCGATTGTCCGGCATTTACCGGCTATTGCACTACAACCCTGCCATCAGCTCAGCTTTAGTTCGCCCCCGCCCCCCCCCTGACGCCGAGACTCAGTGATGTGTCGAGGCCCACCTTCGTGGCTTGGAGCACTTCCTGCGTGGCTTCGCTGGGCCTGTTCTTGCCGAGGAGTGCAGAACACGAGAACAGCTGCGGGCTTCGAGCAGCTGCGAGTCCCCAGCTTGCGTTTCGGAGAGGCTCAAGCGCAGGGCGGCTCCGCACAGGCGCGGGCACCTTCGCCAGCCTTGACCCTTCGATCCGTGCCTGAGTGGCGTGGAGCGAGGATCGCCTGCGTGCTGCTGAACGCTGGCAGCGATTCTGCCTCAGACTTCTCTGCACCAAGCATATCTACCCGGATGGTTCAGCATCTGCAAAAGGTCTGACCTCATTTCTTGCTATGGCAGCAGGGCGCACTAGTGGAGGCAGGATGTCTCCCGATGCACTTGATTACAAAGTTGCCGCGCTAATTTTGGGAGTGCGTGAGGCACGGAGGAGTCCAGCCAGTCCTGTTCGGGGCCTGAGAGGGCACTGGAGGCCTTCAATCTCGCCATTCTCGCGATGTCCAGCAACTCCCCATCGCACCTGTGCAGGTGTTGCAGTTGGGGCTACAACTGAGTCAAGCGGTCGGGCTCAAGGTAGCAGCACAGGATGGGAAGGCGACGGAGATGTTGTTTCATGGCTCTGGCATAGGCATTTTTGGCGTACAGCGCAAAAGCCAACAGCCCTGCCTAAATGCACCCACCATCTCCCTCGATAGGGGGGACCGGGAAGAATGGCTCTGTGACGTTTCTTACTCCTCACCTGACGGAATCGGACAGGAACCCATCTACATGCGGGCTTCCATCTACGACTCTTCGGGTGTCCTTGCAGAAGTTGACAAGGTCCTATTGCTAGTGCGATAGACTTCAGTCTTGTCTTCGCACCCTGCAAGACATGTGGCACAGGTGCCTCTCGCATCTAACACTGCTGGGCAGACGCTTCTGAGAAGCACGTCCATGACCAATCTCTGACAAAAGAGCATAATTGGTAAGCCGCGAAGGGCGTGGCTGTGGTATCTGCAGTGCGGCCATCTGTGTCAAGAAGTTTATTGTCGCCCGGACGATGCTGAACTACTGGCTCTGGGCGCAGCCGTTGTGATTTCGCAGACAGCATTCTCCCGGTAGATTAAAACTCATTGAGCTCCAGTGTAACAGCATCGGTCATCGATTGGCACTACAGACGTAGTCGGGATTGGACAGATAGGGTAGAGGCGCTGCGTGCCAAACCCCGGCCGCCTTCGTGCTGCATGGCTCCCACAAAAAGTGGGCTGCTGCTGACGTCTGTGTCTGTGGCATGGCCGTGCAGTTTTCTCGGTGTCCCTGGCGTGTTCGCCACGTTCGCGAATGCCACGAGCAGCGCCGCGAGCAGCACTGCTCCCGCATCCGCGAATGCCAGGCCTTGGCCTGGGCCGGGGCCGCCCAGGCCCAGGCCTCGGAAGCCTTGAGGCGTCGCGGGCACCGCGGGCACCAGGGCCCGCAGAACGCAAACGAACGGCTTTGGCAGGCGACTGCCGAGTGCTCTCTGCCATGCGGCCGTGCGTGCTGCCGTGCTGCCGTGTTGTCAGGCCGACGAAGCACAGTTGACTTCATTCGGGAAAGGCTTCCGGGGACGGCTTTCGTCGATACACGGCTGCATCGAGCAATAGTAGCTGCATTGTCGACATGGACATTTTAGTCCTAGAGGGGCGTACATGTTGGTTCGGTAGAGGAGGATCATCGTCATCATCATCATCACCAAAAACCAATAGTCAATAATCAATAGTCAATAACCAATAATCAGTAGTCAATGAGCAGTAGTCACTGGTCAATAATCAATACTCAATACCCAATATCAAGAGCAATAGCAATAAATACTATCACACGAGTTGTGGTTGAAGCTCCCGCGCACAGCGTCAGCAGTGCGGGGAGAAAAGTGCAGAGCACAGTCCAGGCTCAAGTTGACAGCTCGGGTACAGGGTGGTGGTGGGGGAAACTGCGGATGTCCATGACGTAGCTAGTGGAATGTTGAGCTCGTGCTGACATTGCAGCGGCCAGAAGCAGCGATAAGGTCAACAAGACTAAACTGCTGGAAACGGCAGATGTGACATCAAAGTCCCAATCGTTCTGGCGCGCCAGCAGTCGCCAAAACAATCTTAACATGATTCAGCTGCGAACTGTAGCGCTGGGCTGTTCTCTCGCCTGCCCATAAGCCCAGAGTTGTAGAGCGTACATGAATTGGCCGTTGACGATGTGTTCCTGTTCCGAAGCGGCTTGTGTGTCGACGAAACCTGACCGAAGCACTTTACACCAAGAGGACTGCTCGTGACCAGAGGTGTCCGGCAGAAAGACCCACAAGTGGCGAGCCACCGGCAAAAATGGTCCAACCCCCCACATTCTGTCGTTGCCAACTCTGCCACTGGCAGGGGCTCGGGCCAGAGATAAGCACAACAGCAAGAATCACAATAACCCAATAATCGCAAGCAGAGATTGAGAATAGTAATAATCAAGATATACAACTAAAAGTCATAATAGCAATGCTAAGAATAGTGATAACAATAAGAATATTGCTGATAATGATGACACAAGTAAATAGTAGTAAGAAGAAGGGTAGCAATAGACGACTACACTAACAATAATATTAAAAATAGTAGCAATATTACTAGTACTAACTAATAATACTAACGCATATAACCATAGCAATAGACTCGGCTTTTGCCAAGCATCCAATCCGGGGTTGTTTGATTGTTTGGTCGCTTTCGACGACAGGTACGCAGTGGGGGGGATGGGGAGTCAACCTTCCGGGAGCTTGGCTCGGGAACTGTTCGCGGGGGTTGGAAATTTATGGGCACGGGATTGTGGCAATGCAACGCTTACTTGATCGTTCTCGCACGTGTATGCGGTGTTGTTTTGGGGATCCCGAGTTGACCTTGTTTGGACGTGATCTTTACTGCGCGGCTTCTTCATATCTTGCGGCTTTCTAGCTTGGCTCTGGCTGTGTTGCGTAAGTTCACGACTTGCGAGTTCGCCAGGGATAGCCTTTCCCCCCTGCTGGTGACCGGCTGGTCGTAGAAGCTTCTCACGTTGTGCTGGGCACGGGAACCCCATAATCACAGAGGTGCCGCCAGAGCCAGTGGCCAGTGTTTGCAGCCGTGCTCTCACGGTAGCAGAAGCAACCTTGGTATCTTGGCACCAGAGGCTTCGATGGCGGCCGTGTCCAGGAAGGTCGCGTCGCTGCAGCTTTTCGGTGGTGCTTTCAGCCCGCTGCTTTACGCCACCTTGACAGGAAAGCAAATCCGGGTTTCTTCATGCAGGGTTGCCTTGTCAATTGCACTTGCGGTTGCACTTTCTCCGGCCTTCGGCAGGACTACTGCTGGGAAACACTGTTCTCGCCAAGGGCAACTCTTTGACTCGAGAGGTGCGGCCGATGCTGAAACCAGGCCGGGTTTTTCCCTCCTGCAGCCTACCCACTCAATTAAGCTCAGCTGCATCATGCTGCATCCAACCCAACGAACTCAACGGTGGGGTCGTCCTCATGACTGTAAGCGTTCTAAGTGTGAGCTTGGATACGTCGCGAGAGATAAAACTGATCACAAGCAACAGAGCTCAAACATGGCATCAGTGGTTCTGCCTGTCCGGAAGTAGACCACGAAAGCGTACTCTATGAAGGCCAGTTGTCAGTATGGTAGAATATGGTAAAATGCGTTAGATCCTGAGAAGACCCTGACCGGCTCCAGCACGAGCCTTGTACAGAAGTGAGACGGATGCTTGAGGCGTGGCCTTTGCCAAAGCTCGATTGCTACGCCTTGGGATCATTTTGAACCTGCACTGCAAGCAGAATCAAGCAGAGCAATTGTACGCTCTTCTGTATGTCCAAGCACATCCCGATCTGAGGTACGGTTTCAACGTGTCGGTGCAGCAGATCTTGACCATGGGTCCTGGGAGTTTTTGCTCAGCCCTGGCTATGGCGTTCTCTACGCTTGCGGGTGTCTTAAGCGGTTGAAAGGTTAGAGCGCGTTACTTCGGGAGTTTACTCACGGCGGGAGTCGACTCAGGCCGTGGGCGTGATCGCGGGCGAAGTGCTGCGGGTGGACAGATCTGTTTCTTTGCTTGTGGCCACGGGTGCATCGATTTGTGGCGTTTCGGCGGTCATGGCAGCAGCGCCAGTCGTTGAGAAGGAGGGGGCATCCGGCTCAAAAGTCTCAGTTGCTTTGGCAACTGTTATGGTATTTGGGATCACCTCTATGTTCCTGTATCCGATCATGTGGCCGATACTTCCCGGACCATTGTCTGCAAAGGCCATGGGAATTTACACAGGCCGGAGTGAGCTTCCTCATGCTCCCGGATTCTCGTCACAACATTGTTGGTAGGTGCCACCGTCTACGAGGTCGCCGGCGTTGTGGCCGCTGGCCATGCGATGTCGCCCAGTGTGGCCTCTGCGGCCCTGCTGACCAAATTGGCCCCTTGAATCGATCATAGCTCTGCAAATGCTTTATCTCTCCTTCATTCCGCACAACTTGCAACATCCTCAATCCCAGGTGCGGGTGCTGCTGTTGGCCCCCTACCTCTTCATCGTCAGCAGGACCGACGTAGTCAAGGAATTCTTCATGCTTGTTGTCGGAGCATCACGGGCGATTGTCTAAATGCTTCATGTGAGCGCGGTGATTCAGGCTGGCTGAAGGTGGTTCCGCGAGTATTCAAACTCCTTGGTTCGCGTTCGCCTTCTTTGGCGTGTGTGCGTTCCGGCAGATCCGGGGAAGCATCAAACTTTTAGGCGAAAGTCTGCATAAGTCTGCAAATGTGCTCAGGTGATGTCTTCGTATCTGCCTTTGCCTCCTGAACTTGCCGTGAAAGCGACGCAAGTCGGTTCCTGGTGCACTGCGCTGGCCATGGCAGCCTGGAGAGCAAATCATCCTTCCGCCTTCCGCCTTGCTGGGCCCTTTGTCCCACATCTGTGCCGGTCTCTGCGTCCCTGTCCCTGGGCCCCTGGGCCCCTGGGCCCCTGGGCCCCTGGGCCCTTTGCCTTCCTCTGCCTGTCCGGCTGTCTGTACGTTTGATGCCATCCGATGCCTCCTTAACTGTCCTCTTGCTTCCCATCTCCTTGCCGCTTACTGTCTCTCGTCTTTGTTCTTGCTTTCTTATGCCTGTACAATTGCTGTATGTGTATCGTGTATACTTATATGCGAAGGTTCTTGTTCCCTGCTCTAACTCTGTCTCTCTCTCTTTCTCTCGCTCCTCCCTCCCTCTCTCTCTCTCTCACTCTCTCTCTCTCTCTCTCTCTCACTCTCTCTCTCTCTCTCTCTCTCTCTCTCTCTCTCTCTCTCTCTCTCGCTCTGTTTACCTCGCTCAGCGCTACATGCGCTTCTCCCCGTCCCCAGCTGCGTTTAAGGTCGGACTAGGTTTGGAGAGCGATGCTGCCGCCATCAAGAAGATGGGATGGCGCCCGATGCTGCTGGCGAGTGTTCTTTTCCTGTACTTGGTGCCTGAGCCGCATTAACATCTTGCAGTGTCCGAGCTTGTGCGACCTGCGGCGTCGCGGCCGCATCCTGCCTCCAGCTAGCAACACGCGAAGGCCCAGCATAGCGGCCTTGGGGCAGAATCTTTTTCCAGCATCTAGAGATCTCGACAGTACATTCACGAAGGATTTCAGACCAGTCACTGATGAGCTAAATGGGGCTCTTGGATCCTTAGGGACGCAGTGAAGGTTCAGGTTTGAGGGTTTGGGGAAGCTGCACCTTGCCAGTCTGTCATCATGATAATGTAGTTAGACGTGGCTCCACAGGTATGCGGTGGATTTCTCGCTATCAGCGGAATCCTGCGGTTGCTTCCAGTGTAGCTGCGAGCCAAAGAAGTTCTGCAGCTGCTGGGACTAGATTTAGATGGTTTCTCGTTTCAGCCCGCCCGGGTACCGCGCGACAAGATGGTCACAGCAGACCGACTTGTGCAGGGTGCTCTTGTTCAGATTGTCTTTTATTGGCCATGTTCTCAGGCACGTCTTGCACGTGGTCCTTCCTGCTCAGAATCTAAACTCTTGCAACATGTCCATGGCAATGTTGAAGAACATGACATTTTGTCCGTAACTATGTTCAACACGACAGGCCACGCAGAAGACTGGTGGTGAAGAAACCATAGGAAGATTCTAACTTTCTAACTCCTCAATCATCAGCAGTAGAACAAGCTGCCGCAGCGGCAGCAGGAGGTAGCTCCCACTGCAATCCTCTGCCTGCCATGAATCAAGCAGAGGATAGGCTGCCTGTTTTGACTGTGCTGCAAGCAGTGAATGTCAACCGCAAAACGTTCCAGGATGACACCGAGTTCATGCGCCTGCCTTGAAGACTGCGATTGCCAGCTCAGACTTTGCTGGTGAGCTTCAGTGCTTGTAGCCCGAGGCCATCCCAACGACGGAGGCGAGCGATGAGCTTTCGGCAGCTAACCCACAGTATTTGCTTGAGGTTTTGAACTGAATCATCAAGCTGTCATCTGCACGGCGCTTGTATCTGATCAGGGGCAGGAACGAGCTTCAAGACTCCGGCGAGATCCTCAGCTCCTGCTTCTTGAGCAGTGCCTCTGAGAGTTTGCAACATCGAGGCTTTATGTCAGACAAGTCCTCTTATCGAGGCTGGGTTGCGCACCTTGCGAATCCAATGAGCACTAGTTCTTCATAAAGACACTAGATGCGACAGCACCTGTTGCATCTGAGCATGAACGCCCATCAGTCCCCAGATTCGCGCAATTGCTGCAAGATGGCCACATCAGTGGCATCGCGAGAGGCTTCAACAATGTGCTCCCACCCAACCCAATGATCAATTTACTGCTTCCTGCGGCCTAATTAGGAACATCGTAAAATTTTGAATTTCAGCATCTTAGATGCAGAGGCTTCGCTTGCACTTCACTTTACTTTGAAATCGATCCACGCTATGTGGCAGCTGGCCGCAACTGCAGAGATCGCATGAACTTGGCACAGGAACGTGCGAGAGCAAGCCCATTGACGAAGCTCCCTCTTTTCTCTGGTGATCTATTGCCCCCAGCCTTGTTACCAAATCCTCTCTCAATCAGCTTTCCAACCAATGGTAGGTTGAGTGACACAGCCGAAGACCTACACGAGAGGCAGGTTGGACTAGAAGGGCAGGAGACGGTGGTGGAGCATTTAGGAGCCGATGTGGAGAAGGCGAGTGTATGAGCTCTGTCTGAAGACCGGCCAGTCCGGTGGCATCGATGGCCCTTCTGGGTAAACCTCTGGTACTGCCTGCATAGGCGGACGCTACGCAGGTCGCCGAGTCCACGCATGTCCACGCCCATGACCGCAATCAGTCAGAGACAGAGACGTCTCAACATCTGAGAAGAGCTCAAGACCAAAGTTCCAGCATGTATCCACTTATTCCAATCGCTGTTGCAGAGAAAAAGGGCTTCGAACATCCCAGCCCAAGCCGCAGAAGTAGTGCTGCGATGCCTGTATGCATGCGAAACGGAAGGCGCATCCACTGCTGCCTCGCATCCGGCCGAGATGCCAGCAGCTGAGTTGCGGAGAAGCCTGGTAGAGAATAGATTTGCAAATTAAGTTTGATCCCTCGCGAAGGTCTTCAGGACTGAACCTGTCCTTCGGTTTCACGCTGGGGGCTGATGTCGGTCTTGGTCTTCCCATCAACTAATTTGTCCGTGTTCGTCCGCAAAGGCCCATGCAATTTGAGAAAATTGACCTGAGAGGTTGGAAATTGCGATGTGTGTTTTACCTGCCTGGACATGATTCCTTGGATTGCCGTTCAGGCAACCACAAGCCGGGACCAGGTCGAGAAGGATGGGTGCTGAGCTAGTGGCAAATCGTCGTAACGGTTCCTGAACATGCTTGCAGGTATGGGATTGAGCACCTTGGCTACGACGGAAGATCAGTGATCAGTGTTGGTTCAGCCTAGGATAGAGAGCCTTGAATGCTTCGCAATGGGCGGCTTCAGAAGCGCCTCCTGTCATCCAGTTGTAGAGCGCATGTGCGGCTTTTCAGCTCTCCTGACAGTCAGCCAATGGCTGGGGATCCGGATTGATCTACCTTTCTCTGGCTTTTATGTTGACTGTCACCTTCGGCTTCTTCATCTTTCCTCATCATGTTTCTGCTGCCGAGATATGTTGGGAGGCTTGAGGGGCAGAGCAGAGGGCGACAAGTCCTTTAGTTAGACGCCGCTGACATGATTGACACACGTTGACACGTTGAGGCCAGTGCCCTCTTGCACGGCTATGATCGTGGTTTAGACATGGTCCTGAGATACATTCAAACTAACTTCGTCTCATCCTGACGCTTCTAGTTGAGGCCTCTTTGCAAGTGTTTCATTCTCGATTTGCCGAAGACTTCTGACAGTAAGGTGAGCACGCAATTGAATCCCTTGTTCTTTCGGCTCGCATCTCAGACTTGAGTTTCAAACGGTTCTTTTAGCCGAGTTGTGTGGAGAACTTCGCACGCACATGGATACAGCCACTAATTCGGGAAATCGCCTGGCGCTGATTCGGCACGAGTTGCCTGACTGGCGAAGTGTAGGCTGTGGGCCGTGGGCCAGGAGAACCTGGCTCATGGCCCATGGTGGGAGAGGGGAAGGACAGGCCCTGTGGAATTCCACGGCTCCTGAAGCTCAAACATGCAAGGGACACGAAGGGACACATGTTCAGCAAACGAACTCTATCTTTGGGCAGTGAGGTTCGTGGGCCCAAGCCAAAAAATCCCACGATGCAGAGACAGCGTTCCAGGAGTGGAGGAGACGAAGGCAGGGAGATAAAGAAAGGCAAGCAGAAACATATACAAAGAACAACCTTCCTTCGCCCCATTCGACTGAACTCCTTTATGACATCGGACTGTTCGTGCAAAGGTCGATAACATTACCCATCTTGACTTGCGGGGCAACCGGCTAAACGCCGCGTTTGGCTGGAAACTCATCAAGGCCGGACCAGGAACAACCGTATTCACATCTGACTGGTGCAGTGGAGCAGGCAATGAAGAAGAAGTACCTGAATCTCGAATTCTGCCTCTGCCTCTGCTTCGGTTCTCGCGGGCGCTGCTTGTCCTAAGAGGCACTGTCTTGGCATCGAGGCAACGGCATTCCGCTGCGGGCACTGCGAATGAACTCCATACAGGTCTTGGACCTGCAGAAAGCTCAGCTTGTTCAGCGAGCAAATTGGAGCGCGGAGAGCAAGGAAAATGGATCACTTCAGGTCGCCACGTGCAAGCCATGTCGGAATGCAGCGGCCTCGGCACGAAGAGGAAGCAGCCATGTGGCCATGCCATCCCATGCCATGCCATGCCAGGTGACTTTGAAGCCTCGAGATGTAGCCACTTGCCTTGTCGGAGCCAGGCCATGGACAGAAGACTCAAAGGAGGCTGCTGTGGAGTTTGCCAACAGAGGAATGTCCCCCCGGCTAGATTCCTGCTGATTCGGGACCTGGGAGAGTAAGAGTTGCAGGTATGGCATCGAAGTTGTTGGCGCCATATTCTTGGCGCATTTCTTGCGCCTCAATACTTCGCTGATAAGCTTCAACTTCAGGCGAGGCAGCTTTTAATGTGAGACATCCTTTTCTTTCATGCTCTGTGCCCTCGCAGGTTAAACCATGTGGAAAAGGACGGCGCTAAGGCCCGGTTCGAGCTCCGCATCGCTGTTGCCTTCCCGTTTGGAACTAGCCGGTACCGAGATTCTGTTCTCAGGCTCTCGCGCAGAGCTTGCTTGGCAACGCGCAAACACTGCTACAGACGGCCACGTCGGCAAGTTTCTCTGCCACTCATGCCGATGCTGCTTCTCTTTTGCTTCTTGTTCCTTCTAGCAGACAGGCACAGCACTTTCTGCTCGGCAGGTGAATACGATGGGGCCGACGAAGATGAAGCCGGCCGCTCGAAAGTCGCCCGACGATTCGCTCCTTGCTCGTTGCTCGTATCACTTTGCGAGGCCGGGGATCAACTTCTCCCACTTCAAAACCGGCCAACTGTGCGCTCGGCTAGAATCGCGCAGAGAGCTGCAATAACTCGTTTGCTCCCGCCCCGCATCCTCGCGAGGACGACGGTGGATCTGTCGAAGCGAGGCATGGACGATGATGACTTCGTCTTCCTGGAGGCCGTGTCGTCCGTGTTTGCTCGCAGCTCACATAAAGCTGCTTCTGATGAGCAGGAATGGCTGCGCCGCTACGACTGTGTGTTCGGCCCAACTAACTTTGAAAGTAAGTACGTCTCTGCCGATGATGTAGGCTGGACACACCACAGATCCGATTGCAGAGGTTACCGATCTGAACATTTCCTGGAATTTCATGTCTCGTGATGGCATTCGAAAGCTGACGCGGCACATCAAGGCACCCTTTCGTTTTGCAAGACAACCGGCTAAAGCTCAAGATGGCAGGAAACGAAAGTGTTGACCAAGCTCAACTGCGAGAACCCCAGGTGCAAAAAGCCCGAATCGGAATTCGCGCGACGGAGCGTCAGGTGTGGGCCTTCCTGTCACACAAGAGGTGCCGAGAGTGGTGTCTTGAGATTGCGGATATTTTGAGTCTCGACCAGGGATCTGCTCTGCTAGCACGTGCAGTCATTGAAAATCACACGCTGGTCCAAGTGGCGCAGGGAGCCCAGCTGGGCTCGGCTGTTTGAGCTTGGAAATGCCTGAGAGTCCGCAGCGCAAGGCTCCCGCTTGGACATTGCCACGACACTCCGGAGCGTCAGCAGGCTTTTGGTGCTTCGGGAGAGTCCTCAGAGGAGGCCCCTTTGCAGATTTCACCATCGTGGCAGATGTTGCAACAGCTCGGGGTTGGCCTGGCGAGCCATCCTTCTCTGCTGAGCTTCGCGTGTACCCGCACCCCCAATTTGGAATATGCAGGGGCCTTTGGAACGATGGGGGAGTTCGGTTCGGCTTCGCTGTATGATGCTGTCTTGGTGCAAGTGCAAGGCACCTCTTCGTGATGCCAAAGAGAACAAGGCTGGTTGAGCATGCCATGTCTTGGCGCAGGGCTAAGCGGCCAAAGCAGAAGTGTCTCAGGTCCGGGCCTTCCCTCCAGAGCGCAGCAGTGGATGGCCACGAGCACAGGTTCGGCTGTGAAGTTGCTTTGCGCTTCGCTGTCGCTCCGTTCTGCAACGCAGATGGCCGTGTACATGTGGCTGCTGTCCGCCAGCAAGGCAGAGGTGGACAGGCCGAACAGCACAGACCTGTATTCTTTGTTTGGGCTCTCCCGATCTTCCCGGCTGCTAGGTTGTACAGCACTCCGACCCACAAAGCTTCAAGCATGCTCGGAAACCCCAATAAAGGTTGTTTGTGAGGCAAGTGATACAGGCAGGCCAGCGACCAGACTGAGGGTGGCTTCGTGCTCTGTTGCACCTTCCCGTTTGCGGGGCTCCCACCACTCTTGTCGCTGACTTTGTCCACCCGTGCCGTGTGAGTCTAACCGAAGCTGCTGACATCGCCTTGTCGCGTTCTGCCAACCTCGGTCGGGCACACGGCACAACAACGCTTTGTTCGGGAAGAACCCACGCTCCCAGAGAAGCTTCAGGGCTGGAGTGGGAGAGCGACACACTCAGGAGTAAAATGGAGCAAAGACCGACCACGGCCTTTGGCCGGGATCCAGCCAACAGCTGCATAAATCAAACGGGAACTGCTAGTAGTGGCGCACCAGTCAGGCTGCGGCACGTGAAGTTCTGTTGCGCGCTTGGTGCTCTACGGACCTTCTGCAGTCGGAGCGAGAATGGGCTAAAGAATGGATTGGCCATGAGATCGAGAGACCGGCACCCAGCTGAGCCTGGCATGGAGAGGGTCAGCGGCCTTCCTAGTCCCCGACAGTGTGAGCGAAGGATTTATGAATGTCTTAGCCCAAAGCGAGCGAGCGTCGACTGAAGTTGCGGTAGCAGCAGTTTGTCCTCCGGGACCGAGGAAAGAATTCACAGCTTTGCGGCCCATGTAGGCCGTTGCACCTTCACACGGACGTGGACTAGTCCTTGCCTCGCCTTCAGCTGAGTCTTTCTCAACCATCCAGGACACAGCCAGGACCCACCAAAGGACCAAGTCAGAGCTCCCAGTGATGAGCAGACCTCTGCTTTGGATGCCAGAACATGCCAGAACCAGATGAATCTGCAAGCAATCCACATGAAACATCAGGCTTTGCAGGTTTGAAGGAGCTGTTCTTGCCAAGCCTTTGATGGCCAATTGCTGCATACAGGCAATCAACTTAATTTTTTTGGCAAAGTGATGTTGCGGGCACTTTTGTTGCTCACTTTAGGCAGCGGTTGCATGAATCTCCAGAGCCCGGCACGGCACTGGAAAGTAATTTACAGTAGTTCTAGACCATTTAAATTTTGTGCTCGTGCATGTTCGTGTGTTTTCCACGTGCCATGATGATAGACCATCCAACAGGTTTCACTCACCGGTCTTCGCCAGGTTTACTTTGGGCCCAGGGGCAAAGCCAAAGGTGGAATACCCGAAAGAAGCTTGCCAAGGCCACCGTGCAGCTGGAGGCTTTTGCATCCGCTCCTGATGCAGTTTGCAGAGGTGCAAATCCTGATCTGATTCCGGCAAGCCTTGGCATGCTCCACAGCGCTGGTCACATGCTGCGGCAGGTCCAGCCGCAGCGTATACTGTTTGTCTCGTCCCTGAATGTGACCTTGATGTCAGGTCTCCATTGCACTACCTCTTGGGTATGGCCTGCGGTCGATGGAGCTCCTTCGGGTGCACGTGCTCTGCCTTCTACCGCGAGTCGTGCCCGATGTCCACAGCTTGTGGAGGTGTTAACTGTTTGCACGTCCTTGGCCAACTTGAAAGTCCTGGGTTTCGCTTCAGCAAGACGCTCAGCAGACAGCCGTGTCCGGGTCGAAAGCAAAGTTGGTGTATGAGTCTGTACATTCTGCTAGGCTGTCCTAAAGGACACCCAGTTGCCGCCCGAGTGGACTTCGATTGGCAGCGCGCAGCGGGCCGAGATCAGCATGAGGACTTCAGCCTGAGGGTGCTGTTGACGAAGGCCTCGGTGGTTGTTTGAGGACAGACTGCAGCGAAGGAGGACACAAAGGGCGGCACATCTGCAGTCGGTGCGAAACTTCAAAGCTGCATGCGGAGGATCCATTGGCAAGCGCTTCATGGTCTACTGTCGGTCACATGCTCAGGCCATACACACACGCGCCCAGAGGCCTCAGAATCAAGCAACCTTTGCACCTGCCACTCCTAACCCCGGCCGTGAAGACCAATTACCGAATCCGTGGCGAACTCACAGTACCAAAGCTCGCCCGAAGCGGTCAAAGACGGTGGCTCAGTAAAGGCACTGCATGCAACGGTCTTGGGTCGTAGACCGATCCCAGCATAACCCCAGTAGCTCAGCACGCTGGCTTCACAGTTTTCAGGCTCTCCCCCACCTGGAGCAGTTCAATGACCTGGCGCTGGGTGGACCAAACATGAGAGAGTCGCCATGCTCGGCATGTTTCTGTAGCGCTGCGGCTGCCAATCGACGCATCATGACGCATGGCGGCTGCCAGGCCTGAACTGACCTGCCTACTCTTGATGCAATGCTTGGAAGGCAGTTTTGAGAGGAACAACGTTGTGGTCTCTAGTACGCGTTCCTAGAAAGGTGTGGCCACCGAGCTGACGGATGGTGGTGGAAGTGGAGAGGCTTTGCATGGTTCTCAGCTCGTGCGGATCGGTGCCTCCGTGTTGTGGTGATTTGCAGGCGGGGCGCTGATGGCTACAATTCGGGTTTTAAAGCTCTAAGGCTGAAGGCAAGCCTTCAAGCTGAAGCCGACGTCGATGCTTTCTGTGATGTCCTTCGGATTCTGAGACATGTCCTCAGCATTCCCGTGGAAGGGAAGTGCAAGAATGCGGCATGTGGGTGCTTCAACTTGCAGAACTTGGCCAAGGTCGGACTCCCCTTCTCATCGATCTGAACTTTTCGGACAAGCATGCAGAGACAGCTGCAGCCTTGGTATACCTATTGAAATTTAAGCAATATCTCTATCCTTCTTGCTCGTATGTTTGTAAGCAGGCAAGTTTGCTCAATATCGGCAGACTGCCACCGTCTTCGCGCCTGTGTCGCCATGGAGCTTCCTGTGCTGGGCAGATCTCCTCGCGCAAAGGTGCCTCGGACCACCTTAGGCGCTAGCTTGCAATCTGCATGTGATGTTCCGTTCATGGCGAAGTACTTACCCACTTTCTGCATGGACTCATGCCGTCAACTCTAACTTGAGGTGACATTGTGATGAATCTCTGAATCCGCTCTCGTGAGATCAGGCGACAAGCTGGCACTCCTGGCCTGCAAGGCTCTTTCAGCCGGGTCATCAACATCCAGCTGCTGCTGCTGCTCGTGCACAAGGCCGATGAGCCCCGTTCTCTCCAGACGAGTCAGGTTGCAGGATCCGATAGTCCCAGGAGGAATTCTCAGACTCGCATGTAGAGGGATTTTGAGACAAAGCTTGTCCATGGCGAGATGCATTTGCGGATATCGTGCGTCAAGCGAGCAAGGCGGTGAGCCACGGATTAGACTATCTTCGCAACCGGTTTGGGGTTTAGGATGGATTTAGGGTTTGGGCGGGACTTGCAGGTTCGCACTGAAACCCCGTGGTCTCGCGTTTTCAACATTTGAGGACACCCGATCTCACCACGACCGCCGTACCATCTGCCGTCACTCCGCAACCTTGAAAGCCGATTCCGAAAGCCATGGCCCAACTTCTGTCGCCTTAAACCCCGAGACCCGAGAGTCCAATCCTTGAAGCAAAACGGCGGAACTTTGGCTCTGCGGTTCAGGGTTGAGGTGACTCGGGGGTTACTGCAGTCTGAGCCTGAGTTTTGAGACGAGGCAGCGTTTAATGGAGGCGTAGGTTCGAGGACCAAGGGTTAGGGAATCTTGGATAGGTCGATGGACATGCAACATGTTCATAGCGATTTGCTCATAAAGCACTTCAGTCTTACAAGACTCCGCAGCACATCCACCTAAGTTCGTCCATGTTTGGCTTCCACCCAAATTCCATGTGAAGCGACACTCCGGCTCGAGCCAAGGTGATCCGACATGCCATACAAACTAGCAGTTGTCGGTGCACTGTGAGAACCCACCGTTTTGCTTTTCTTTTGGCTTGTGTGCTAAGTTCCTGCTAGCATCGCAGACCTGTGGTAGATTTGTGGAGATGACACGTCTGCAAGGGATTGGCTTAGTGCAGCACGACCTTCAGGCACTGTGGCAGTCGCAGGGGCAGTGGCATTCACAGCTTTGCGGCAGACGTCTAAGCAGCTACTGAGGCGCTCGCGCTGTAGGGTGAGCGCATTGACGGAACGCGACACATACAAACTGGACACTTGGAGCTGGAGCAAATGAGTCATATTTTTGTCCTGTAAGTCACATGTTCTGATGCCGAACTCACTGTAGCGACCGTAATTTCGATGTAGGTTATGGGCTTCACTCACGCTGCAGGATGGAACCCCAGATGAACTGTTCTATTTGATCCCGCGCATTGGCGTATACCATGTTGATGACGCTTTCCGGGCACAGCTAAGACAGCTGTACAAAGTCCTCATACCTGCCGACGGACAGGTGCTGGACTTGTGCTCTCAGCATGACTCGCACTTGCCCACAGACGTCAACTACACGCTGACAGTGCATGGTATGAACCAGCTGGAGCTGCTTGCAAACACCCGGGCAGCATCCCGATTCACAAGAAATTTCAACAACGATCCAACCCTTTCAGAATTTCAGGACGATACTTTTGACGCCGTCCTCATGGCAGTCTCGATCCAATACATGCAGAACCCTGTGCAGCTTATATCCGAAGTACGAAGAGTGCTCCGTCCTGGTGGAACCTTCATTGTCAGCTTCTCGAACCGGATGTTTTTTACAAAGGCAGTCGAAGTCTGGCGCTCTCAAACGACCATGCGTGGCCTTGCTGGCATTGTGACGGGTTACTTCAGTGAGGCAGGCTTCACGGATGTCCGCGTTGCGAACCGGGTGCGTGCTGTTGAGGATACCGACTGGCTTCGTGTCGGGCTCAGTCGTCTCGTGCAGGTCTTCTTAATCCATTTCGCACGCCAGCCCAGTTATGTAAAGCACCCTTTAATCCAAGAGGCATATTATTAATTGTCAGCCCGCAGGTGGAAACGTGTGGAACCATCGTCCTACAGGCCAGAAGCTACAGCAGAGTAGCACTTAGGAAGCCTGCGGAGGAACACCTCACCTTCACTCTGCAGCTCGAGCAACTCACGGCTTTGAAGAACTTATGGAACTAATGCACAGTGCTGGGACTTGTTCATGAAGAATTCTCAGAAGACTCAGGGCTGGAATATCTCATTTGTCGAACAGCAGAAGTTCTCTGTTGGGCCACGTTCTGACATGTTTGGCGCATTTCGTGTTTGGCATATAATATAATTACTTGAAGTTCGGTGGTTCAATTGTTGAACTGCGCCATTCCTTACTTTAGCTGACACCGGTGGATGATGCAGATCTCACATCCGGGTCAAATCAAGCTGGTCATGCGCAGCCGGATCCCGAACCGTTACTGTGCGGAGCTTGTTCGTATCACTACCAAGACTAGTCTCTCATAAGTCCCACAAGTCTACAATCTGATGTTTAGTCGCGCGCACGCACACACACACACACACACTCGTGCAATCCTCCCTCTGGACTGATGGTAATTGTCGGAACTCAGTCTTTCAACATAGAGGTAAAGGATTTTAAGCCACTAGGCAGTAACATCAAACACATTTACATTTATTGGGGTTCTAGGCTTAGCCCCGGGCCATCACACTTGCAGAAACAATTGCAGGTACACCAAGCTGATCAGGCTTGGCTTCCCTCTCTGATGCATAGCTTCGTTGGGTACGGTAGCATCAGAGAGCCGTACCCCCTTGCAAAAATAATGCATGTCAGCGAACCTTGGCAAACAGGTGTTCCACACACACACACCCCGCCAAGCGGGGTAGCCTTTAATGGCATCAAATTATTGACAGACAGCAATGCTCATTTTACACTAACGGCCTCTCCATGTTGTATGGCACAGAACAATGGTGGTTGCGAGTCCCATCAATGGGTACGCACCCTTACATACTGTTAAAGAACATGGCCAGCATCGAATTAATCATGCAAAAATGGCTTTCACGGAGAAGTGCTCCTCTTTCTTTTCCGACGAGACTCAGAGCAATCAGTGCGATTGAAGGGAGCATGGGTAGTCTCAGGCAGGTGTGAGCTTGAGCTCCACATACTATCCGCAGTAAGGCGAGTTTGGATCCACTGCTGTGTGGCAGGGAACCACGTTTTGCACCAACGGTCTTGACCATCAGCTGCCAGTAGAAACGCCACGAAATCTGCGGAGACCGAGATCTGCTCCGTTCCGACATGATGGACTCACTAAGCTCCACTGAAAGCCGCAAACTAAAGAAACACTTCAGCAACATTCAAAGCACCAAAAGCAAAGGGCAATTGGAGACTGCGATGCTGTTTTGGCTTAGCCTCGCATCTGCTCAGAACCGGCTTCACTGTTTGGTGGGCCCGAACTCATCCTGGATGAGTTTGACAGGGCACAGATGCTTCAGAACATAGTGGCAGGAGCACCTGTAGCCACTGCGAGCCTGCATTTTAGCAGCTGCTTTGCCACGAAACTGGTAGGGTTGTGGCACATCGGCAGGCGGCTTGGCAAACCCCGGTAATGGGTATGTAACTTCCAAAATGGGATCAAAGAAATTCGGAGCATCTGAAGCTGTTGGTTGAATCTCAGTAGAAGTTTTAGAAGTCTTCTTGGACTTCTTTTTCTTTTTCTTCTTCTGCTTTGTACCATCACCGTCCTTAGGACGTTTCTTGCTCCTTTTGGAAACTGGCTCAGATGTCACATCAAAAGCAGAATGCCACGAAGAAGTCGACGAAACAGGTGAAGGATCACGAGGGCCAATGGGTTGGTCCATGGCCACCGCAAAAGAAAGGCATCACAAGAGCCAACAACTTCTACAGCAAAAGACTTATCCTGACATAGCTTTGCATGTGCAGGCTGTTGCGGCAATCACAAAGGCACATAAGCACGTTCCGAAATCTTTTCCTGCTGTACGAATTAAATCAGCTTGCAGCTGCAAAAGCAGCGGCTGCTGCCATGAGGTTTTCTTCCTCAGGTTCCTCTACATCTGGCAGCTCTATCTTAGGGGTTGCAGGGTTACCCCATGGGCCCCAGCTGTCGTCAGGAGGGCCATCTGCCAGAGCCAAAGTAGGCTCGTTGCCGACAGCTCGGAGCCTAGTTCTACGGCGTTGTCGGCTCTCTTGCTGAGGATAGTCAGCTTTGTTTCGTTCTGAAAGAACAAAGACAAAATCAATGCGAGCCGCCGCGAACCTAATTGCCAACCTTCTGTCCGAAGAGCAGCTGCGGACCAAGGCATGAAACTTCGCCAGATTGTTCTCATATCTGGTGCATGCATTCTTGCCCTTGACATGGGCGCTCGGCAATAAGCCTGCAAAAACCACTCCAGAACAGTTCATGGTTGAGTGGTAACACTTGCAGGCGAGCTGTACAACTCCTGCACCCCAATTGGGGTTTGTTGTACTTCTGCCGTAGAAGGAAAACGTATCCTCTTGAGGTTCAAGACCGGCTACACTATGATCCGTATGTAGCCAAAATTCCTGTGACCCCTTCTCTGGTAGTGGCGTGTGCCCAGAGATGCCAGTTTTGCTGGGCCAGGGGTGGGCCTGGGAAGCCTGTACATCTGAAACGGTAGCCAACTACGTTTTCTTCTATATCATGAAACAGAGAGGCACCTTCTTCGAAGTGCCTCTCATAATGAAGTCTGGACTGCAAAATGCAGTCCACGAAGCCGAAGAATTCCTCCCGGCCTATGGTGTTCGGTGGCACCGGCTCTGGAAACAAGCTGAGCAAAAACCGAGCACATCTTTGTCTCTCAGGGTCTTTGAGGGACGCAAAAGGGCGTTGGTACTTGCGAACAAGTGCCGCC